ATAAAAAAGAGTAAAATGGCTCGTTTCGGGTTAGTAATGGACTATTTAGAACGAGCTCATGCCGAGGACATGCGTAGAAGAGATAAACCCCTTATAGAAGAGATACAATTAGCTCTTTATGTTCGCTCATTGTGATATTGTTTTGATGTCAATTTCACATTACGTATTATGCTCTCCGAAATGCGATATCAAAATGACATCAAATTAAGCGTATTATGATCAACTCTTTAAAATGATATTAACTTGATATCAACTTAAATGCGTATTATGTTCAACTTTTTGACTTAAAACAGTATCGCATAAACGTCAAAAAGGTGATACAGACGTGATACAGAATTAACAAGTTAAGAGGTCGTTCTGCGTGCACGCACTACAAATGACTGACAAGTTCACCGATAAATCTGTGCAAGCACACACACGTACAGATTTGTACGGCGCGGCCGGGGTGCGGCGCGGCGGTCGCGTCTCTCGACGGCGAGCGCCGCGCCGAGCCGCGAGCCGCACTCACCAATACATTCACACGCGGATTTGTCGCCAGCGACAAATCCGGCGGATGGGCGCGCCTGTGTATGGTAGCCTTTAGTTGCCGCATTATACAAGTACGCCGGCGGTATCTAGTCGAGTGAAGCGAGACAAATCATTTATCTATGGTTATAGTATATTTTTTGTTTTAATTATTCTTAAATTTGTTCATATTGCACCATAAAGGCTACCAACATTATTACCTACATTAGTTCTTTAAATAGGTACATCTATAAATCGCGATAATAGAAAATAATTAATGTTTTTTTAACCGATGGTCTGTGTAGCCCAAAACTTTGTTGTAAATTAAAAACCATTACTAAATAAGATAAAAAGCAAAATATGAAAATAATTTTCTCAACTCGTGGCAGAAATAATCCTCATACATAGACGAGGGGATAAACGATTTTTTGAACTCTCCGGCCATAGAGAAATTCAGTATCTACTTTTTACATTTTAGTTAAAAGGATTGGAGTTATTATAAACGAAGCGTATGGGCGCTTGTTTACGACCGGCTTTCAACCGGGTAAAAATCGTCTCTTTAACAAGCTCTGTTCCTTATCCTTATACACTAAGCTTTTACGACATTTATTAAATCACATGCACTTAATCCAATTATTATAAAACAAGCGGATGTTGATCACTTCATTGTAACTACCGAATGCCTTTAGTCTTCTTCTTCTTTCTCGTTACCTCGTGACGGAGGTTTATGGCATGAGGCATTTTCGGGTATAGGAGCTCCATGTTGTTCAGTTTTCTGCCATCCAGATAGACGTATCACGTCTGCATGTCTCCTTTACAGCATCGGCCCATAGTGTTGGTGATCGTCCATCCCTCCTCTTTCCTTCCACATAGCCTACAATCTACAACAATGAGTTAATTTAGGATCGAAACGTTAGTGCGAAGCGCTGGCCACGGTATCCATAGTATTCTCCGCCATCACCACATTTCAATCTCTATCATCGTAAAGTATCCATAAACATCGAGAAGACAAGGCCCTTGTCTTTTTGACTGACTTTTGTCTTTTTGGTTATTCCTCTGTTCCTCCAAATTCATCTCCAAGAGTTTCACAGCTGATTTCGCAATCTGAGCTCTTCTTACTACTTCTCCCACAGTCTCCATCACCTCCGTTTATCATAGCGTATGTCTGATAGAACTGCGTCATCCTAAATCTGATTTTCAAGTTATTCAGCCATTCAAGCACAGGCCGCAGGCGTCAATTCGTTGAGCTCAATTAGGCCCCCGTTATTATGAGTCGATTTTATCGGACGCTTTTTACATTACGTATAAGAACGACTACGAAGTTACACATACCACGTTACACACTGCTGTTATAATAACGACGCTATAGAAATATAACAAAATAATGCATCCGATATTTTATCGACCTATATGGTCTAAGATCCGAACCTACATCGGCCTTCACCGAACTGATAATAGAATAAAACATGCATCTACAAAAAATGGGATAGTTTTCCGGCCTCAGTGGGTGTTAATCAAAATATTGAGTGATGTTATCATTATTTAGTATATTAGAAAATATATTCGCACTCGGCAAACACGGAGTAGATGAAATCATCATATACTGGGTAAGCAACATGCTCCGTAACAGACTAATCAGACTACAGGACGACAACCATCTCAGGGCATTGGCGTAAAGGATGTCCTTAAGGAGGAGTACCATCGCCTCTGCTATGGAAAGCAGTCGTAAACGACTTAATCACCAAATTAAACAACCTTCACTTCCATACGGTGGGCTACGCGGACGACCTGGCAATCATAATCCCGGGTAAGTCTACGAGCACCGCCTGTGATGTTAAAGGGGGGCAATGAAGGTGGTTGAAAAATGGTGTGACGACTATGGCCTCAAGGTGAATCCGGTGACAGAACTAGTCATGTTCACGAACAAAAGATCGTTAGGCGACTATCGGCTACCGAAACTCTTGAACACGACACTAAGGCTCTCCAATGAGTGGAGTGCAGAGGCGTTGCAAGACAAAGGACTTCCCCAATGGGAAGCCCGCAGACACTAGTAGAAGCCTGCAGCAACATCCCGGGACTGCAGAGCTTTCTGGAGGAGCTGGGATGGCAGGACTGATGCCAGTCCCCACGTAAAATAGGCACTGGGTGTCGAGTTGCGGAAACAGCTAGAAAATATATTAAAAATGGGTTTGCCTTAAAAAATCCTGGACAGACTATTTTTAATTAAATGTTGCCAGATATAAACATGTATGTCGATGCCAGTTACGTTACTTGGCTTTATTGGCTGCACATTCTATACGTTTTATACTTGAAGTCAGGACAACATTTTCTTATTGTCTTGATGTAGCAATATATTTTGTTAAACAATTAAAAATAGTCTGTTCGGGATTTTTAGGCTACCCATTTTTAATTTACTTTGTAATATACTAAAGTAATGATAGAATATGGTTTCATTCTATTATCAGCTCGGTGAAGGTCGATGTAGGTTCGGATCTCCTACTAATAATAACGTACCTAAGGGAGGAAGGCTTTATTTACGGTACGACTGACGAAAACTCATTATATTCTCTTTTCGGTTCATAATTTGTCTTGTCAAATTTCAACATGTTTATTTCTTCAGTGCTTGATCGTAAAATCCATCCAACTTTAAATAAAATTATCAGAAACATGGTTTAAAACAGTACTAACCATTATGTAAATATGGGGCAATTAGTAGAAGAAAGGTCTTCTACGAAGATGGCAAAAAAAAGCTCCTCTTCTGTGAAAAAATCTTCTTCTGGAGGCACAAAGAAAACCAACCTCAAATCGAAGGATTCATTAAGCTTAACAGACCCCAAAGTCCAAGGTGTATTATTGGTGGGACTTCTGGCTGTGCTAGCATTGGCGTTGTGGTTCGGTTTCACCTATGGCTGTATGTCGCGACAACGCCGCCGTCGCCGCTCTTGTTGAAAATTTGACGTTGCATTAGAAAAGGTAATGAACACATATATTAAGTCCTCTACACTACAAAGTTAGGTAATAAGGTCCTTGGAAATTCTGAAAATGCTTCTTCTAGTACCTATTAACGCGATGGGTCGTTTCTGTCCGTAAATAGATACTATAATGACAGCACAAATCACCGATCGATCGACAGGTGGTATATACTGGTCTAGAGGGAGACGCCGCGTTGTTACCAAAGAACCTTTGCTTGGTAAACGAGTGAGCCATGCATTTTAGAAAGCATCATTTGTGTCCCGGGTTGTTACGGAGGGTTAGGGCTGTATTTAGAGGTGTGGAGTGGAGGCCTTTGGAGCAACGAAGGAATGGAGGCCCCTAATTCTTGGAGTTAACGCATGTTCATAGAGAAGCTAAAACATCGTCTTTCCTTCCTCTTCTGGGCACACGTTAGGTACTGGCGTTACAGAGCAAAATGCAATATCACCATGCTCGGTACTCAGTTTAAAATTTAAGGCACCTCGGTATAGGAGTTCAGTGTGACTAAGTTAAATCCAAGAAACTAATACATTACGTTATTAAGAGCCTCATGCAAATCCGAAGTCCTAAACATGGTACGGCGTTTTTTCACGCCTGAGTAGAGCAACAGTACAAGACGCAAGTCCTGCGTGGAATATTGCTTGCACCTCTGGGATGACACCGCCAAGTACTTACTCGGTTTAAAAGGTGTGAATGTGCTTTACATTGAAGACCGGTAAGATGATAATAGCCGATAGATGGTAGATAAATTGCTGCACTAGCTATCTTGCGTCTGGACTCCACCGTCACTTAACATCAGGTGGGATTAGGGTTGCCACCCGTACTTTTTTATAAAGTATTGTACGTTATTTTGGGTAATTGTACTCTATACTTTATGACAACAATAAAGTACGCGAGAATACTTTATTTTATGTGGTTTGATTACTCGGGGATTGACTATGCATAAAATATACAAAAAGGGATTGATTGGAAGAATTTTTGCGTAAAACGGACAGACAGTATGTATAATATGTCGCCCTTAGCTCATTCTTGCAACATTGTCGTGGCTGTATGGCTTTGTGCCATGATCTTTCCCGTTGCGGAAAAGAACTACAGATTTTTAGTAGCTGCAAATTATTTATTAAAAGTTGCTAGAACCAACGTAAGGTATATTTTTAAGCTTACTTATAAGGTGGAATAAAAAGTACTTTATTTTGGATACAATGTACTTTTTTTTACTACTTTCAAGTTCCAATGTACTTTATTTGGACAAAAAAAAGGTGGCAACCCTAGGTGGGATCAATGGAGTAATTTGTTTCATCTAGTCTACATTTATACTTGCCTTATTTAAAAAGGGCAATTATTGAATACTGACCACACAACGCGAGACGGTTAGTGTTGGTTGGGTGCAGGGTAGCTTTTTGGAGCCATGCCCTTTAGAAAATGTTGTACGCCTTAAAGGTCATCTCAGAACTGACCAAAGTCCTTGTTGAGGTTAGGTTGCTGCATTAAAAGGTTATTGATAAAAAGAAACTTAAGTATATGTAGTTATATGTTTAATGCCAATGTAATTATTTTAATAATTAAATTTGTTTCCAGAACAACAATACTTCAAAATCATCCAGTGATACTGCGACGCTTTACTAAGGTCACTTCTAATCTGAAAGAAACAAAAATTCTATAAATATCATAAAAATAAATAACAATAAAATCTTCGGAGTTTTATTTCCTCATGCATGCATGGACTCCTAACCGGCTATTAAGGCAGTGGCACCAATAATCGTCATTTTTTAGTTGAATCGTTTAGTTCTACTTGAATGACTTAACGGAGAAAACTGTCCGTTTATTTCTACTAGTAGAACTGAACGCATAAAAAAGGTCGTTTTGTCCTACTAATATAAATCAACGGAGAATAAAATTTAAAAAGTTCGTGTTGTTCTAAGATGAGTTCTACTAATAGGACTGAACACACAGCAGTAAAATGTAATAATTTCATCAGCATTTGTTGTTTTTTGGGAACGTTTAATATAATAACTTATTGTGTGAAAGGATGTGCAGTTGTGGCTTATTAACAATTTGTAAAACTTGTCAACTAATATATTACACAACTTACATAAAAATGCATTTTTGAACATAACAAAAATCAAAAGCGCGTGAGCTTGTTAAGGCCTTTTATAAGTTTACTGGAATGCAAAACAATAACTTAAAAGACAATGGGCAAAAAACACTCCGCTCCGCCAACAATGTAATTAGTATGAATCGAAAGATCTATGAAAAAAAAACCTTTTTTTATTGACACCGACAAAATATCCTGTTAATTGAAAGATATGACACATGCGCATATTTAAACAGCTAAATAAATTTATTTAATAGTATCTATATTTTATATTACACTCGGGGACAAACAAATCTCAACTCCGCGAAAATAACTTTCAAGTGTTATCAACCCTTAACACGCGCATGTAATATCGGAGACATTTGAAAGCCCATTAAATAATCTAAAAATCATTTTTCATTTCATTAAATAAAAGCTTGATGATCTGTCACTTTAAAAAAAATGCCAATTTTGCTCCTCAAAAGGGCCACTAGTTGCGCTACCTTTAGAGGGTATAAAAGGGTTAATACATGTTCAATGGGGGTTGCCCACGTAAGTGCTCCGACATAAAGTTGATACTTCTCACCGAAGGACGACGACGAGAGCCGCCTCATCACAGCATACCTAGGGAGGGAGTGAGCGGGCTGAGCTGGTACCCGCACGCGCTCCCGAAGACGGCAGTCTCAAGGTGGTCATTAGAGGGCTGCCCACAAACACCCAGCGGCAGGACATTGCTGTGGCCCTTGTTACGCAGTGGCATACGCCAAGTAGATCCGGGCACGAGCAAGCCGCTCCGGAATATTAAACTTTGCTTCACTAAAACGGACACCAGACACCATCCCGGCTATCTACACAGTGAGTGAACTCACGACCGGGACCACAGCGAACTGCCTACAAACACCCAGCCGCAGGACATTGCGGAGGCCCTTGTTACGCAGTGGCATACGCCAAGCAGATCCGGTCACGAGCAAGCCGCCCCGGAATAATAAACTTGGCTTCGCTAAAACGGACACCAGACACCATCCCGGCTATCTACACGGTGAGTGAACTCACGACTGGGACCACAGCGAACTTCCCACAAACACCCAACCGCAGGACATTGCGGAGGCCCTTGTTACGCAGTGGCATACGCCAAGCAGATCCGGGCACGAGCAAGCCGCCCCGGAATATTAAACTTTGCTTTACTAAAACGGACATCAGACACCATCCCGGCTATCTACACTGAGTGAACTCACGACCGGGACTACTGCGAAGCATGGAGAGGAAAGATGACCCCTGCGCAGTCACCGCTGCCAGGGATTCCGCCACTCCAGCAGAGGCTGTCACCGCCCGCTTGCCTGCGTGCGCTACGGAAATCCACACGCCGCCGCCGACTGCCCCCGTTCGTTCGCGCTACCCGCAACTTGCGCAAATTATAAGGGCCCGCACCTCGCAAATCATAGTTCGTGCCCCGTGATCCACCGCGAGGCACGAAACAGTAGAGCCTATACAGTGGCCCGAACAGGCCGCACGCCCACCGAACCAACCCAACAGAAGCGAGGTGAGCGAGCACGCACCGGCCACCCTAATGACACTGGTCGAACCAAACGCCGCCGCAAGCAGTGATGCCAACTTAGCAACTTTATAGCTAGATCTAGCTATTATTTGGTGTCACACAGCTACAATTTAATAAAATTTGTAGCTAAACTTTTTAGCTATTTTATCTAGCAACTTTTCATTTCATCATGAGATTCATCGAATACCAAATCATTAACGAAAAAATAAAAACTGAACGCGGCTCTATGGTCATAGATTAAGGATACTATGGTATAGGTCGTCCTTGGCCGGGAATTTCCCATTTAAATATTGCGCTACGGCTACGACAGAACGTAGGTACTTATTTACTATACCAAAATGGTTCGCACAAATCGTATGTACGTATTCTACCTAGTGATTTTTTTGTTTTATGCATATAAAACTAATGCTCGCTGTTTTAGTTTAATGTGAAAATGGATTTATCCTTGAGATAAAAAACATAAGCTCAGAAATACAGACAGGTTCGTTAAAAGCAACAAGTAGAGACTCAAGCAAAAGCGTTTTGTACTAATTGTTCTACGGAAATTCTGGCTAAACTATAAGAAACATGCTAGAACAAAAAAAGTTAGACAGAAAGTAGAGTTCAAAACAGGTACGTGAATTTAAAACTCGTTTTGTTGAAAGCAGACTTTTTCGACGAGAAAAATTAGTATGATAATTTTAGTTTACAAGTTCTTATTAAAATAAAGATCTCAAACTCATTTTTTTGCGTCTACGGTCAGTGTTGACATCCCTTTTTGTAATATAGTACCTACTGTTACATTTAGTTACTTCTAGCAACTTTTTGGGGTAATAAAAACTGACTATCTAGCAACATTTTGTAAGATGTCTAGCAACTGGGCAATGCTAGTAGTTGGCAACACTGGCCCCAAGAGGCAATGCAATGAGCGTTATTCGCTATTCAACCGTGGAAGATGTTACCAAAAAAAAAACACCTTGACATGGATACCACTGCTGATGAAGCCGCTCAAGTGATTACATTACTGCAATCACGGATGTGGTAACACTAGGTTTTAGGTAAGTTTTAAGAACCTTAACCTAACCATAAGGCTTAATTAAGGATTTTGATTGTTTTGTAAACTTTATTGTTTTTTGCACTATTCTAATTAAAAATAATTGAATTGATTATTTTTAAGTTTTTTTAATGAGCTTTCATATGACACCAATATGGGTGGGGTAAATGCGTGTGTTAAGGGTTAAATCTAATTTAGGTAGGTACCAGGGCAACTTAACTCCAAAAGGTGCATAATGTATCTTTAGTAATGCTGTATTGTCTGTTTAGTCCAATTAAAATTCATACTACAGATAGTAAGAACTAAACGGTTTCTTTCTGTGAAGTCTTATTAGAGGAACTAAACGATAGAACTCGGATACAATCTTTTTTTCTGTGATCAATGAAAATAAGAGTAGATAAAAAGTCACTAAACATGGTGATAACACCGCGCGTATATAGCTCGGTCTTTATCGGTCGGTTCTACACTGGCTTGCAAAACTAAGGTCCACATGCAGCAATTTTGCTAAATCTCGATTTAACCAAAACCATATTTAGGCCATACAAAAATGTCAAATTGACATTAACATTTTATTCTTTCTTTTTTAAATGACTCAACGGGGATATACCCACAATTCTACCAATTTCACGTAGATAGCCACTACACGACAAGGGATACTTAATAAAATTAATTTTGAAATGAGAAGTTGAAAATACTATTTTAAAAATTCTGTCACTTCCTATGTTGATTTAACGACCCTGTAACAAAACACGACACATTTTATGGCATGCACGACAAAACACAACATAACATCACAATACACAGAATTAACATTTTAGTGGAGGTTGAAAACGTGTCTATTATAGTTTTAGTTTGTTACATTGTATAAATTTAATAATTATTTTTATTAAGGGTGAGTTAACCAATTTTAGGATGTTTTTAACAATTAAAGGTCGAGGTACGTCATGTGGAAGGACATCATATAAGGAATATCGAAGTTTGGGACAGTCAAATAACAAGTGTTCCGCTGTTCCTTCGTCTATATCACATTCACAGAGAGAGTTATCTCTAACCTTAATTTTCTTCAGATGTACCGGAGTACATGAGTGGCCTAGGCGTAGGACCGACACAATCTGCTCGGGAACATTTTTTTGTTTGAAATACTATGGCTTAGTTGGGATAGTTGGTTGGATGTCAAAATAGTGTCTACCAGTACTGTTTCTAGTATTTTCCAAAATTCTTTCCCATGACTGTAGCAGATGGGATCGAGTAACAGGAAGAAGATCGTGTTATGCGACTTGAGAATAATCAGAAGAACCTGTGGATATTGCATTTCTGGCACATGAATCTGCTGACTCATTACCCTGTATTCCACTTTGACCTGGAATCCAACCCATTATCAGTTCTATACCTTTTAACTTGCATCTAAATATAGTCCAGTCAATGAAGGCTTAACTTTGCCATTTTCAGATGATCACCTGCAACCAACGCATATACTAAAATTGCAGGGTGCTGCATTGACGGCAAAAGGTGCAAAAACGAGTTTTTCGTCAATATCTCGCGACTGGCTGAAAAAATAGAAAAAGTTCCTAGTACAAAGTTGTAGAAAATTTAATTTCCTACAAAAAAGGTATCAACATATTTTCCCGTATCTCCCAAAGTTTTTGCACAAAATTCAATTGAAGGTGCAAAATAAAAAAATAAAAAATATTGTTAATGGTTTTTTTTCCATTTTTAAACGATCCTACGGGTCAAATTCAACAATCACCACTTACTGAAATATTTAAGGATATGTTTTCGGCAGTCCACTGAAATGAAAATTGTCTACCGAAATGGTAAAAAAATGACCACCGAAATGATACAGCCAAGAACATCGCCTTTGTAGTAGAAGGGTTGCCTATTTTGAATTTAAATAAATTTCCTTATTCTTTGTAAATATTTTTGTACATTATTTTTTAATAAGAATTACTAATGAAGAATTAATTAATTGTTACTCCT